CAAAAAAGGACCCAGCAGCATATTATACCTATAAAACTGGTGCTTGTCACCGCATATCATTCACGGTATGTAAACCCCATCCGGCAGATTTTAACCTATGGAGCGCTGGCCTGGTGGAAAGTACTGGATAAAAGCAGAAATGAGAAAATACTTGGAGGAGTGCAGATACTCGAAAGCTTCGGTATATCAGGCGCCGTGTGAAGCGCACCTCTGGAGCGGCTGAACATGGTATTTTAGTTTGCGCATGCAGCAGTCTTGAAGGTAATTAAGAGAAGACAGCATAACGGAAGCAAGGCCGAATTAGTCGTCGAAACTGATTACCTCACGTCATCCGGGGATTTTAGTCTTCAAATTGGCATACATTTTCCTACTAAGGAAGATTGGGAAGGCGGCAATTTTATCGGAGGAGGTCTAGCTCATACGGGATAGCAAGTCTCAGGAAATGTCACTATATCCATTGGCAACCATGCGGCATTAAAAACATTAGGTTCCAAGTTAGTAAAATCGAAAGTCGGAAATATCGCTGGCTTCAATGAGTTAAAACCTCACTCTGCTGGGTTCATCGACGTAGCAATATCGCATGGAACGAAATAGCGGATGAGATGGACGAATAGAAATCGATTCACCAATTCCTGTGTCAACGTCTCGCTCTCCAGGCAAGGCGTTTTAAGCATTTGTGATCATGATTTTCAAAAGTTTAGGGGAGACAGCGGAAATGAAAATATCAGAGCTCTACAGCTTCATACGGGAGGTAAATGGTTTAATAGGCACCACACTAACGATAAGGAATAACTTTGGTTAGAAGGATGTGCCTCCTCCTGGCATTCATAGAGGGCATTCATTGGAATTTTTTAACTTTAGTTAGTGATATAAAAATAGAACTAATATTTATCAACATCAATTAAGTTAGCCAGGCACATACTATATTCATATCACATTGAAAATATATTAGTATTGTACTAAACGCTATAAAAAAAAGATAAAAAAGGGGCTTTACTGTTTCACGGTTACAATAATTTCGCGTTCAATTGTTATTGACACTGAAAACTGACAATAATAACAACAATTACGTAAACGACGAAACCAAATTATAAACGTTTCGGTGCATAATTATCCGGTAATTACAGTGAATTTGTCATTCAGTGGATGTACCTATTACTATTTGTCCATATCTTCGAAGAAACATGAATGCTAGTGATTAGCGTGTACTTGTTTTTGTGATTTACATGCACCTCAATTTTGGCTCGTGTGAGCACTAAAATTTTCATTTATACCTAGTATTTACATTTTCCACGTGCGGTGCTCGCATCAGTGTTGGGAAATGAAATTCTTCCTTCAGTACGAAATCTATACAAAAACTGTACTTTTCGACTGTAAATTGTATCGACTTTTTAATTTGCTCATATATATTCTTAATACATGCATACATAGATTCCCTTCAAGACCCATGATTTAAAGGTATTCATGGGAAAGTTTATGTAAGTACATTTACATATTTTATACTTTTATGTGTATGTGAATGCACATATTTAAAAGCACACTTCTTAACAAACAAATTTTCTTTTTTGAGTTATTATGAATGGATAAAAGAGACCTCTTCTTTGAATTCAGTACTAAAACTTGACACCTACATATTGACAAGATTGGCCACTTGTCTTAAAGTTATTTAATTTGACTTATTTGTTCATAAAAATTCAGTTTATACTTTAACAAAACCCGTATAAAACCAAGGTTCAATATTTGCGCAACATTAAAAAAATCAACAAACTTTCGTAAAAATTTCGTGCTTATTAATTAGAGTTCCTAGAAATACATATTTTAAGTATGCAGCTTTGTAGCCCGATCAA